GAGGTGAACTGTGGACTCGTTGGGTGCTCCCAGCCTTCTAAAAGTGGGGAGTGACGTGTTTGCCGTTGCCGAGGCGCAGTGCAAAAAGAAGAAGGATGGTGATGTGAGTTTTACTGGCGTTGCATCCCAACTTCTCACGACAGAAACTGCTGAGACACAGGAGGAAGTTCTGGAAAAACCCAAAGTTTGGACACAAGTACTGGAGGAAGGTGCTTCCGGAGGTCAAAAGAAGAAAGTAGATGTGAGCCGACCAACAACAGTTTTGAAGGGGGATGATATTTACATGCTTGTTGGAGTCTACAATAGAGTTGCCGCTCCTCGACAGGATGCCAAGCCTGACGCGGCTCAATTGGGACTTTTGCTGGTGAAAGGGAGCGTCAATAGTGGTGGGGATACAAATAGCAAGAAAATTGACTGGGAAGTTACTGAAAGTTCCCCGCAAAGACTTTTTGGCACACAGCTCGATTCCTGGACAAGGCTGATTGGAAGCGGTGGATCGGGTGTTAAGATGAAGGACGAGACTCTTGTGTTTCCTGTGGAAGGCACGAAGAAGGCGGCGGAGGGCGCAGAAGAGGGTGTGAAGACTGTCTCACTGATCATACAGTCGAAGGAAGCTACGGATTGGACGCTGTCGAAGGGGATGTCTGACGGTGGCTGCAGTGACCCCTCCGTCGTGGAGTGGGAGGAGGGAAAACTCATCATGATGACTGCGTGTGCTGGTGGCCCTCGCAGGGTGTACGAGATCGGTGACAAGGGGGAGTCGTGGACGGAGGCCCTCGGGACACTCTCGCGTGTGTGGGGCAACAAACACAAGGGAAATGTGAAACTCGTTAGAAGCGGGTTCATCACAGCGACGATTGACGGTGTTGATGATAAAAAAGTGATGCTCGTCACTCTGCCGGTGTATTCAGAGAAGGACGGCAAAGAAAAGGGCAAACTTCATCTTTGGCTGACGGACAATACGCACGTTGTTGATATTGGGCCGGTATCCGGTGAAGATGATGACGCTGCCGCCAGCTCCCTGTTGTACAACAGTGGTAAAACTGATGATAATGATGAGGAGTTGATTGCACTGTACGAGAAGAAGAAGGGCAGTGATGAAGGGAAACCATCACCCGGTATGGTCTCTGTGCTTTTGACAGAGCAGCTGAAGCGTGTGAAGGAGGTGCTGGCGACCTGGAAGGATGTGGACGGCCGTGTCTCCAATCTGTGCACCTCATTAAGTGCTCAGAAGGAGCGTGCCTCAACCGGCGATGCCTGCAGTGCTGCTAAGATCACGGCTGGGCTGGTTGGCTTTTTGTCCGGCAACCTTTCTGAGAACACATGGAGGGACGAGTACCTCGGCGTGAACGCCACAGTAAAGAATAATGACGGGACATCAGCGGCAGCATTGGCCAGCACGAAAAATGG